GGGGGGGGGGGGGGGGGGGGGGGGGAAGTCCGGTATCCTGATTAATCACACGGTGCGGAATACAGAGAATGCTTATAGAATTTAATTGCACGAAGAATCTGTCAACTAATAGTAATTTATACCAGAAATATGTAATTAATCAGAAACGAACTTAACAACATCTGATTACACAAAATAGTAGGATTTGGAGGAATTTTAAATTAAATTTAACCTCAATCCAATTTTTTCCTATTTTCGAATTTATTGAACAGGGGGAAAATTTACAGGAAAAAATTGAACCAAGCAACTAAACAACGATGGGATGAGAGATCTACGGTTACAGAAGATTGTGAACCTCAACGATGAGCTGTTGTAGAAGAAGGCGGTGGGCAGTCGTGCGGTTGCAGCAAAACAGAGGACGGCGCGCCGGGACGGTTCAACAGAGGAAGATAGAAAAAGAAGGAAGAAAACAAACAATAACGATGGGTGGAGGGCGCCTGCCGGCGAGGGTTGTAGCAGAGAGCGATATATGAAGAAGAAGGGACACGAAGGAAAAGAGAAAGCCAAGGGCTATGGAGAAGAATAGTGGTCTGAGATTTGGCGAAGACAATGGCAATGGCGGCAAAGGAAGGGGTTTTGGGATTTTAGGTTTGTAGGGTATTATGGTAATTATGTTCACCCACAAGGGTTATTTATAATTTAATAATTTAGAAATCCGCTATGACGGTGGGCTGGAAAAGCAAAATCCAACTTCTGCTTTTCCTTCTCAAAAATCAAAACCGTTTTTTTATTTTTTTTTTAAATCTCAAAATAATAAATAAATTATTGTAAATATTATGTCCTGCTTACCATCGCTCTCCCATGGGCCTTTGAGTTCGTGTTTGGGCCAGGGTAAGAAATGGGCCTCAATATGGCCCAAACAGTTGAATACAAAAGCCTGTTGCCCGTTCCATTGTCAGCCACCAAACAACCACCGCAAGTGGATGGGTCGCCTCCAGCTCTCCGCCAACCATTGTCGGTGGTGCCTGCCATTGATGCCACCATCTAGCTTTGAAATTAAGTATAAATAATATCCTTATATTTTTTAAAAAGATTGCTCCTAAATTTTTAAAATCTTAAAATATTAATATAAAATTTTATGAAAGAAACTTATTTATTTATTTATTTAATAAGTAATGATTAAGAAAGAAAGTAAGTAAAGGGACATGAAAGCAAAAGCAGTGGCATAAATAATATTGATTTTAATAATGTCCACGTCAGATTAGCAATATAATAATAATAATAATGAAGAAAGAAAAGTCCAATCAGCCTTTTTACAAGGGAATGCCTTAAGAGAGAACCTAAAAGAAAATGAGATTTTACCAAATCACCCATAGTTTATCCCATAAATCGCACCCACCAACTTTGATCCTCCACCCAATTAACTTTTTACTTCTAATTATTTATAAAAATAAAAAATAAATGAAGAAATCCATACTTTATATTCTAAACTCATCATTTAATTATTTTTTTTAATGTTATATTATCGTCCTAATATCTTATCTTATGTCAAATAATAATAATTATTATTATGTTTGACTTTACAAAATGAAATATTCTTGCCTTGCCTACTTAATACGAGCGTGACAATTCAAATATTTGACCCATTACTAATTTATTTGATACAAGTCGAGTACGACATTATAGAGAGAGAAAGGTGGGGGAGAGAGAAGGAGAGACACGGTTAGTGCAATGAATGGGAATCTCTCGATGAGAAATACTTTGCGAAGAAGGAAGAAAAGGGAACACTTTTGATGATGGAGGACTTTTTGATATAAAGTTAAAAGCAAATAAAAAAGCATATATGAAAATAAATAAATAACTTACACCCATCAATTTCATTCATTACGTCTCCTCCACATATTATTAGGCCAACCCTATAGTTTTCATCCCTTTCACATTGAAATGATATAAACATAAAATTTTAATCTCAAATTTAATTATTTGAATGAAGTTTTATATAATTATTTAATGAAATCATACTCCTATTGGTGTATTATTTTAATTAAGGAGATTAAGCTAAGATCCTTAGAACACCATCCCACTTATCATGAGTGGAAACACAACGTGAGTTTGTGTTCCAAGTCAACGACATCAATTATGATATTTTGCAGAAACTTCCCGGCTTTTTGGTTGTATTTTATTTTATATCCCCCAATTTTTCAAATATTCCTTGTTTCCCCCTAAATTGAGCTTGAATTTTATATTTTATTATTATTGTTTCATACCTACTTTTAGAAATAACTTTCAATAAATTTATAAATTCCATTAAAATGCTCGATTAATATGAGTGTAGAATAACGACCTTTTTTTTTTTAATTAATATGGTTGGGTTTTCATTTTTTTCATCATTTTCTATTTTTGCTTAATTATTTTATAATTTTGCTTTTCCTGGTTTGGTTGAATTTGGAGAAAAAAAAAATTATTTACATAATTTTTAGTTAATTTTAAATAAAATTAACTAAAAATATATTTTTTTTAAGTTATTAACTAACGACCTAAATAAATAAATTTTAAATTGATATAATTATTTGTTTAAAATTTTAATATAAGCGTTGAAGTTTCATGGGATTTAAATATTTTCTATAACTTATTAATTACATTAATACCCCACACCTTCCAAACATAACCTTTTTTTTTTTCATCATTAAATTTATCCAAAGAAAAAAACAAAAATGAAGTTCATGGGAAGTTGCCATGTGTCCAAAAGCGTGGACAAGGATACTTACTATTTTAAAATATTTGATTTAAATAAGTAGAGATATGCATGACTAAAATATATCATAAAACCCTCTCTTTTCCACTAAAACATTAGTTGCATACAATTCTACTCCCTAAAATTTAGTCTTTGTTTTATGTCTTTTAAATGTCTAATAAATTTTATAATACTATGAAACATTATATTAAAATTTATGAGTATATTAAATATAAAATTAGTCACATAAAATTTGATCCATAAATCTAATAAAATTGGTTAAATATTTTTTAAAGCTCAATAATAGCAAACACTTATTTTTCAAAACAGCACATTTTTTTATCCTCATTAAATTTATCAAAAACAATTAAAGACCAAGAGAAACTGCCACGTGTCAATCGGATGAGCAAGTTTCCAGAAAAAAAATAAAAAAACGGAAATTGTTTTTTTAATAATAAATATGGAATATATTTAAATGAGATTTTGAAGTATGACTCACAAATGAGTTTGTTGCCCAATAATTTGAAAACATATCATCAGCTTTAAAGTCAATAAATCTATTATTATTATTATTATTATTATTTTTAGACTTTTGGCTGGAAAACTTTTCTCAACTCGTGACTTTTATAATGGGATGTGATGATGCTTATGAGCTGCTTTCTTCGATTGTATATTTATTTTGCAATTTCCAACTTTGATCATATAAACTCTACAGATAAACGTGCTTAATTTGGAACAATTCTATATTAGATGATATCGAGTTAGAAAAAAGAAACAAAATATTTATCATAAAAGTGTGAAAATCTATTTCTAACAGACATGTTTTAAAGTTGTGAGACTTATAATAATATATAATGGACCAAAACATGTAATATTTACTAGTGGTGGGCTTGAGCTGTTATATGACGTGAGTGAATGTTGCTTTGTAGAATAGCAAGCTTTGCGGGATTAGGAAAAAAAAAAAAGAAAAAAAAGAAAAAAAGGTGTATGGGTGGTGGTTTGCCATGGAATACTCCAATAAGTGTGAAGAAAGGTAAGAAGGTTGATTCAATAATGGTTGAAGGATGGGGAGAATAATATGAATGGACATGAAAGGTGAGGCTTTCTTTGAATGGGCTTCAATACTTTCACATCCACCATTATAATATATGCTTTCTATCTATGAAAATCTATTGCCACCTCATCCTTTATTAATCTCACTCTCATCCACTATCTTAACAATAATGTCTCACCTTCAACATATATATATATATATATATTTAAACTTTATTGAATTAATACCATTTATCTTGAATTTTGAAATTTTGAAAAGTAATTAATGTGAATTAAAAGTTTTAAAAATAACTTAGAAAACAATTTCGAAAAGATATTCCATTAAATTCTTATTCTAAAAAACAATCCCATATTAGTTATTAAATTACTACGACAAATTATAAAACTTTAGTTTATCAAATTGTACCATTTATTATTAATCAAATATTAAGCATAAGGTTGAGGTGACAAATATACATTTTTACAAACTTTATTTTGACTTTTAAATTTCTAAAATAGCTATATAAGATTTTTTTTATTTTATAAAAATTTGACCATACAATACGTACCTCAGCCAATTTATATGTAAATGATGTGAAATTAAATAATTGATTTATTTAAAATTTAATGACTGGAAGGGAATTAAATTTTAATTTAAAACACCTAAAAAAAAACTATTAGGGAACACCGACAACGTCCTCGGAGTACATGGAAATTGCCAAAGTTACGAAACGACAAGTGGGATCTGTCCGAAATTGGAAACCTATTTTATTAAAAAAAAAAGAAAAAAAAAGTCTCTTATTTTAAATACTTTTAGTATTATTTTTATCTGAAATGAAAAGGCAAAGTCGTCCCTCCACTCTGCTGAATCAGAGATAGAATCCCTCATTTTCCCATTTTCTCTTCCTCTTCGCCTCTTAACAAATCTCTCCTCTCTCTTCTTTTTCCAGACACCGCCCCGTTTTACACCCATCTCAATTTGTTATTTGTGGTTGTCCTCCTCCTCTTCCGCCGCCGCCACCGCCCGCCGGGTTCCATCACCGTCGTGGGGGATGGTGTTTGTTTAATCATTGCGGTTTATTGGGTAATGTGGGATTTTGGTCAGAGTCCCCTCTGAGCTGGTTGGTGGATGGGAAAATTAAACTTACTTGACTGGTAGAGATGGAGATTTAGGTAGAGATTGAGAGAGAACCAAACCAAAAAAAGATAACCCTAGGACAACAAAAATTGCTGTCCCCTTCTTTCTCAGAACGTTTGAAACAGATAAATGCTCTGAATCTTCTTCTTTACGCCTCTCGATTTTAATATCCTTTTTTGTTTTTTTGCTGTACTCATGCCGGCCGATTTAGATAATTCCTCGTCGGCTTCCGGCGAACCCACTGAATCCTCCCCCGGAAACGTCGCTCCGACTCCCAAACCCGCCGCTAAGAAAAAACGAAATCTCCCCGGAATGCCAGGTACCATATTGTTTTCTATCATTGGTTATTAGTTTACTTCTGTTTTTTTTGAGTGTTGAATTGGAACTTTTGTTCTGCGTAGATCCGGATGCGGAAGTTATTGCTCTGTCCCCGAAGACCCTTTTGGCCACAAATCGATTTGTTTGCGAGATTTGTAACAAGGGGTTTCAGAGGGATCAGAATCTGCAGCTTCACCGGCGAGGGCACAATCTTCCATGGAAGCTCCGGCAGAGGACAAGTAAGGAGGTGAAGAAGAAGGTCTATGTTTGCCCTGAGAGTTCTTGTGTTCATCACGATCCCTCTAGAGCTCTGGGTGATCTGACTGGGATTAAGAAGCACTTTTGCAGAAAGCACGGCGAGAAGAAGTGGAAATGCGACAAGTGTTCGAAGAAATACGCCGTTCAGTCTGATTGGAAAGCCCACTCCAAAATTTGTGGAACTAGAGAGTATAAATGCGATTGTGGTACTCTGTTTTCCAGGTTCCTAATTCCTCCATTTTGCCTTTGCTTATGAAAATTGTATTTTCATTTGGGGATTTTGAGGGTTTCTTTTTGCTTTTTCTTCTCCTTTTGAAGAAGGGACAGCTTCATTACACATAGAGCTTTCTGTGATGCATTGGCAGAGGAAAATGCAAAAGCTCAGCCTCAGTCGTTGGTGGACAAACCGGTTTCTGATTCTCAGAAAGCGGTGGAATCTAGTCCGAAGCCATCTCCGCCGCCGGAACCGTCACCTCCGCCGTCAACTTGTGTTCTGTCTCCTGTCTTGCCGATTCAGAGTCAAGGTAAAATCAACAACTACTCTGCCTCCTCAGTTAGCTTTGTCGTGTTTTGTATTTTGTCCCCAATGAAATGAACAGAACAAATTTATGTGAAGCCTTGGATTGTAGTTGTTTTTTGTCTGTTGTTGTTTCTTTGGTTCTCCATCTGGGGATGGGAGAGTGATTTGAGAGGGAGCCATTAAAAGTGAACTTTTCTGGAATAGTTACTGTCAACACTATGAGATTCACAACTTTATAGTTAAAAACATGATGATTCTGCCTTTTTCTTTTAAAGAATTCCCCCAAATGTTCCTTTCCCCTTTCTTTCCCTTTGTTTAACTTGTTTTTCTCCTTGCATTTATCGACCATCGACCAGAGAATCAACCCGAAGAAGCACCGATGGCTACGACAGGCATGAGTAGTAGCTGCAGCAGTAGCAGCAGCAAGAGCTCGAGCAGCAACAACAGTTCGAGTAGTCAGTTTGCTAGCTTGTTTGCTTCCACAACTACATCAATGAGCCTGCAACCTCCTCGACCCCCGACATTTACAGACTTGATACATACTATGGCTTGTTCAGATCGCTTGACCGATTATGCACCAACGACGACTATTGAACCTATTTCCCTATGTCTTTCAACTAGCCATGGGGCATCAGTTTTTGGGGCTGCCAGCCAAGAGCTCCGGCAGTACACACCAAGTCCACAACCTGCAATGTCCGCCACTGCATTACTACAAAAGGCTGCTCAAATGGGAGCAGCAGCATCAAATGCCTCATTGCTTCGCGGGTTGGGATTGGGGTTAGTACCGTCCTCCACCACTTCAGCTGCGCCCCAAGAGAGGTTGCCATGGAATCAGCAGAGGCAAATTGAAGCAGATGGCATCTCGATCAGTGCAGGGCTCGGGCTGGGACTCCCTTGTGATGGCAATTCTGGATTGAAGGAACTAATGAGGAGCAGCAACCATTCGATATTTGCTCCAAAACATACTACCCTGGACTTCCTCGGACTGGGGATGGCAGCAGCTGGTGGCAGCCCCAACAGCAGCCTGGCGGCGCTGATTGGTGGGAGTATGGGATCATACGGAGGGGGTGCCAAATCCAGCAAAGACATGAACACAAACAATTAAAGGTAAGAAAAGAAAGGGAAGTCCCCATCTTTTTTGTCCGCTGGCTTTGGGCCCCTTCCCTCTTCTGTTTCTTCACGTTCTTCTCTGTTTTGCAACACTATTTTACAGATTTCTGTGTGTATATAATTAATTAATGGGTAAAGAAAGATCCTTCGATTGATCTTCAAATTAGTAACTTCCATTTCAGTACAACGTTAAAACACAAAATGTGGCATTTTTGTCCCTTCTTTTTCATCTCTCTCTCTGTCTCTCCCTTACATTTCTGTGCTCTTATTCGTTGGAGCTAAGTTCGATGATACCACGACATTGAAGGTTTCGAGTTACGTTCGTTGTCTCAGAATTCTTAGTGTTGGCTCTTCTTCTTCTTCCCTGCGTCTTCTCTGTCTTTCTTCTGCCTCTCTGCGTCTCCTACCTCTCTCTCTTCGATGTGCTTCCTCACTCTCCCTAGCTTCCTCTGCCTCTCTCTCTGCCTCCCTTTCTCCCCTCACCGCCTCTTCCTCTTCCCTTCGCGCCTCCTCCTCTTCCCTCTCCCGTTCTTCCTCCTCCTCCCTTTTTCTTGCCTCCTCCTCTTCCCTTCGCCCCCTCTCCGCCTCCTCTTCCCTCTCCCGTTCCTCCTCCTCCCTTTTTCTTGCCTCCTCCTCTTCTCTCTCCCTTTCTTCCTCCTCTCTCCTCCTCCTCTCTTCCTCTCTCTTTGCCTCCTCCTCCTTCCGCTTCCTCTCCTCCTCCTCCTCCTCCTTCCGCTTCCTCTCCTCCTCCTCCTCCTCCTCCCGCTTCCTCTCCTCCTCCTCTTGTCTCTCTCTCTCAGCTTCCTCCACCATTTTCCTCACTTCCTCTTCAGCACAAGACGTACACTCCAATATAACTGACTCAACTCTAGCTCCCAACAACCGATCAATCGTTGTCACATTCACATCAAACGACCACGCCAACACTTCCCTGTCCACAGTTTGCAACACCGAGCTACGTCCAGCCAAGAACTGTGGCAGGTTATTCCTGTTCGTCGTGCTAAATCCAACAAAAACAAACGACCCATTGTTGAACGACATCTGCGCCATTGGATGGAACCTTGGCACCACGAACACATCACCTTTACCTACTACAAAACTCCATTTCTTGCATATTGAACTGTTCGTCATGCTCGAACACCCCACCCGAACCACCCCTGCCTCCTCCGACGTCACAATCCCTATCTCCCACGCCCTTGGATTCCAATGCGGACCCATCATTGAGCCCTGCAAGTGAATTCCGTTGTTCGTCATCTCTAAACATAATCATATCAGGAATTAGTGATTAAGTTTAAGAAATAACTAACCGCTGTGAGGTTGACTACGAAGAAGCCAATGTTGGAGCCCTTCAACTGATGGGAGACTTTCTTAGTTACAGTCAAACTCCATCCATTACAGTTTTCAAAATCCGGGTCCGCTTCAAAAACGTTGTACAACCCTTTCTTCTTCTTCTTCTTCTTGTTGAAATCCATCCCACTCCCGCCTCCCCCTATGAAAGATTTCAAGAACCGAGCTTCTAATTCCAACGACATCGACAACGACGACGTCGGCTTCTTGCTCAAAGTGGTTGCAGCGTGGACAATCAGCGGCGGCCTTTTCGCATCCATTATTTCCTCAATTACTTCCTCCGGGACCTTTTGACACATTCATCACAACAGTTCATGAAATCCCAAATTACCCATATGAAAAAACCATCCCCTTTTGAAGATTTTTAAAAACAACTTGAAACGTAGACGAATTCATACCATGAAAGCTTTACAGAGGACTTCTTTGTCGAATCCACGAACATGATCGGTGACACGGGAGTACGCTCCGATGGCCGGCTCCTTAAAAAACATGCATCAAGTTTAACTTAGAATCATAGAAACCAGCCAATTTACAGGATATAAAATCGGATTTAAACGTACAAATGGGTCCTCATCTGTGCTGGAAAACAGAGCATACATCCGAAGCTTTTCACGTTCGGTCTCTAAGCTGCTATGAATGTAAAAAATGGCGCCTGGTTGAAGCCTGAAAATATCTCCCCGCCGTAAATCCACCTCCCTCAAATCATCATCATCAAACCAATTCAATCTCCCACTTCCTACAATAATCACAAACATTCATACCATTCAAAATTCCATATATTCGTCGTTTTTCCTTTCAAAAAACAGAGCATACCAGTGTGCATGTACAACACCATGTCAGCATGAAGAAGAACAGGAAGAAACAGGGAGTTGGGTTCCATTGTAATGAACTGAAGATGATAAGGTCCGAACTGAGAGGCATCGTGTAAATCAATGGCAGAGATCTCGCCGTACTCTGTTTTGAGGAGTGATCTTCTCTCATTGGCTCTCTTCACCACAGGACAGGCCCCTTCCCACCATTTATCATCTGCATTCGAAGGTAGAGAAACGAAAAGGAAGAAGACAGTGAACAGAAAAGAAAGTGAAAATGGCGATCCTGAAATTGCAGTGGATTTCTTCATAGTTGCAAAGGCTGAGCTGAAACATTGAATGTAGGAGAAAATTGTTTTATAACAGAACCGAGGAAGAAAGGAAGTGAGGCTACGTGGCGCTTGAAAGAGACACGTGACATGGAAATTGGACGCGTGGAAGCTGACAGAGTCCAAGCTGTTGGGTTCTTGAGGCTCGTATATAGGTGCAGTTGTTTAATAATATTAGTAAATAAATAAATAAATAAATAAATAAATAATAGTATTAGTAATATAAATTTGCTTGCCGTATTAAATTTTTTACCTACGATTCTATTTCTAATATATATATAAAGATATTAGATCGATTTTCTCCGAAATTTTATTAATTTTATATCTTACGCGCCTTTTATAATTCATTAAATAAATCCATAATTTATAATGGAATTTAATATTTTTTTATATTTATATTATTGAGATTGTAACTCATCTAAATTTAAAGTACAATTGGATGAAATTTAATAAGTTTGTGAGTCAAAATTTTTAAAAATTATTAATAAATTTTTTAAAAAATTAATTAATTTATGTGATATAAAATTTAAATTTCATGTAATTAAAATCTTAATATTTTAATTTTATAGGTAGTAAATATGTGTATTTTTAATAATAATTAATTACAGTTTAATGGTTTGTTGAATCCAGGACACCGAGCTCTTAAATTTTGCCGTAACAAATCGACGGTGCAAGATGATTATATATATATATATATGGAAGGAGCTGTTTGTCGGAATCGAAGCCGAAAACTTGGACAAAAAGTTACATTCCAAATCCTCTGCACAAAATTCAGCAAACCGCCTCCTCTCTACCTTTTCCGTTTTCCCATCTTTTGAAGACTTATTTTTCTCTTGAGAAAAGCCAAACTCGTCGTCTTCACAGATTCACAGAGCTCTCTCTCTCTGTAAACAGTTCCTCTTCATCTTGTTCACAAGTTTGTTTCGAATCAACGGACAGTGAAGCAGCTGTTCTAGCGGTCTTCACTGGTTCAATCCAGTTCCAGAAAGTAGAAAGTAACCGTCGGCCGATTGTTCTATCTATCTCCGGTGATTATTTTTCCGGTGGCTGCGTTTATCGAACCCCTTTTAGGTGGGTTTCAAAAGGGTCTTCGTGTTTTGTAATTGCTGTGTTTTTTGGGTAATGTGGGATTTTGGTCAGACACCTCTCGAAGATATTTGACTCTAGAGAGAGAGAGAGTGATAGATGGAGATTGGGGGAAAAACCCTAGAGAGAGTGAATTAAACTATTGTCACCCACAAAAGGATTCCTCGATTTAAAGTTGAAATACTTTCGGGTTTTTTCCTATTTTGTCTCGATTTTCGAATTGTTCTTCGGATTTGGGAAATTTTACTGCTCCGAAGTCATGCCGGCCGATGAGAAGGATTCGTCCATGGCTTCCGGGAAGGCTAGTGTTTCTTCTCCGGGAGCGAAATCTGCCACTAAGAAAAAGCGAAATCTACCCGGAATGCCAGGTAGTTTGATTATCCAATTGCCCTTTTGAGTTTGTTTGAATTTTTTCGAGAATTCAAATTGATTGAACTTGATTTTCTCTCGCAGATCCGGAAGCGGAAGTAATTGCTCTGTCTCCGAAGACCCTTTTTGCCACAAATCGTTTTGTTTGTGAGATTTGCAACAAGGGGTTTCAGAGGGATCAGAATCTGCAGCTTCACCGGCGAGGTCATAATCTTCCATGGAAGCTCCGGCAGAGGACAAGTAAGGAGGTGAAGAAGAAGGTCTATGTTTGCCCTGAGAGTTCTTGTGTTCATCATGATCCCTCCAGAGCTCTGGGTGATCTGACCGGGATTAAGAAGCACTTTTGCAGAAAGCACGGTGAGAAGAAGTGGAAATGCGACAAGTGTTCGAAGAAATACGCTGTTCAGTCTGATTGGAAAGCTCATTCCAAAATTTGTGGAACCAGAGAGTATAAATGCGATTGTGGAACTTTGTTTTCCTGGTAGATTTAATATCTTGTTCAGTTCGTCTTGGATTTTGTTGAAATTTTTGGGATTTTGAATTGGGTTTTGGTTTTTCTTTTGCAGGAGGGATAGCTTCATTAGACATAGAGCTTTCTGTGATGCATTGGCGAAGGAAAGTTCAAAAGCTCAGCCTATGCCGGTGGACAAACCGGATTTGCACTCCGACCCCGATGGCGATTCTCAGTCAGCGGCGGTCAAACCAAATCTAGAGCCTTCTCCTCCACCTCCACCTCCACCGCCTCCGCCATCATCACCGCCGGTTTCATCTCCTCCACAGTCAACTGGTGAGCTAATAACTGCATTACCTGTGCCTAGTCAAGGTAAAGTCAAACCTCTTGGCCTTATTCACTTTGTCGTGTGGTCGTTCGTCTTTATGGAACAACAAAATCAATACCAAAACTCTGTTGCTTGTTGTTTGTTTTTGTCTGTTATTGTTCTTTGTTTCCATATAAAATCAGAGAATTGAGAAGGTTTTTTAAAATGGAACTTTTTCTGGAATGGCTATCTCTAAACTATTAGACTCACAGCTTTTGTTAAAGTGATCCCCAAGTGCTTAGAAAAGCTAAAAGGAAATGATTGATTGTTCCTCATTTTTGTTTTGTTTTTAAGAATTCCCAGATGTTGATCTCTGTGTGCTTAGGTGAACCTTTTTAATCCTGTTTCTGTTAGTAAGGTTCTTATTTTTCGTAACAGAGCTGTCGGAGAATCCCTCGCAATGTACTGAAGAAGCGCCCGGTACACCTGGCCTGAGTCGGAGCAGCAGCAGCAGCAGCAAGAGCGCGAGCAGCAATAGCAGCTCGAGAAGCAGCGGATTTGCTGGCTTATTTGCTTCGTCGATGACATCAAGGAGCCTTCAACCTCCAAGACCTCCTGGTTTTACAGACCTAATGCAAGCCATGGTTTGTTCAGATCGCTCATCAGACTATGCATCATCTTCAACCATTGAACCTACTTCTCTGTCTCTTGCAATGAATCAAGGGCCATTGATCTTCGGAACAGCCAGCCAAGACCTCCGGCAGTATACGCCAACGCCACAGCCTGCAATGTCCGCCACAGCATTACTCCAAAAAGCAGCTCAAATAGGTGCAACAGCATCAAATGCCTCGTTGCTTCGTGGTTTGGGTTTAGTATCATCTTCTTCCTCTTTAGCTGCCCAGCAAGAGAGCTTGCCATGGAACCACCAGAGCCATGGTCAACCTGATGGCATCTCGATCGCTGCAGGGCTCGGACTCGGACGTCCCTGTGATGGAAACTCAGGATTGAAGGAACTAATGATGGGAAACCATTCCATGTTTCCCCCAAAACATACCACCCTGGATTTCCTTGGATTGGGAATGGCAGCTGATGGAAGCCCCAACACTGGCCTGGCTGCGCTAATTACATCAGTCGGCAGCGGTGTAGACATCGGGGTAACAACATTATCATACGGTGGTAGCGGTGTAGACGTCGGGGTAACAACGTTATCATACAGCGGCAGCGGTGACATACCGGAGAAGAAAACGGAAACAGAATAAGAGAAGCTCTCTTTTGAAATGTAAAATTGCGAGAACCCCACAGAATCTCTTCCCTTTTTGTCTTTCAGGTTACTAAACATTTGGTTTTGTGAACTCTTGCTGTCGGGTAGCGGCTTTAGAAACAGAAGCGACATGGAAGGAAGCCATGACTGTACTTATTGTAAGATCAGTGGATCAACCAGTAAATTAAACTTAAAACACATTGTAATCTGAAATTTGAAATGTGAAAGTGACAAAACTAGAACATCATCATTAAATTATAAATTACACTTTAATGGTTATAATTTGTCGGTTCCCGACATTTGTTTGCAATATCTTGCAAGAAAAAGAAAAAAAGGACAAATATTTATGTCTCTTCAAATTTGGTCTCCGAAGGAATCACATGGTGTTTGAACGGGTTTGTCTCTTTTTCCACAAATCTTTGATTAACGTCTAGTACACTTCTCTTGTTTAATGAACTGAGGTCGTTACTGACCTACTTAAAATTGACTACGACTACGTGCGCGAGACAAGTATAGGAAAGCCTTTTTTAGGGATCAAATCATGAATTTTTCACAGGAAATATTTGGGGCTCGAGTTCAATTTTTTTTCCATCTAATGAAGAAAAATCTTTCTGTACTCTCTTCTCTAAATAGACTGTACTTCGTAGTTATTTTATAATCGAGAGCACGAAAGAAAAAGGAATATAATACATGATTACTTTTCAAATATAATTCTACCATTATTACTTGGGAAGGATTATAGCTCATAAGTAAAAGAAAAAAAAAATGATCAAATTACAAATTTAGCCCTGATGTATTTGATCTATAAACTATAATATATAATAATTTCTTAAACTTTAAGTAGTGCTCCCATACATTTGAGTTTTCGATTCCTTTTCTATATACCATCCATTCAATTTTCAGTCGCATCGAAACCTTTTTCTTTGGATTTTGAGATCTTCGTTCTTGAATCTCTCATTCATTTCGATGAAGATTTAAGCAGCGATTTTGCTTCCAATCGATCAATGGCTCTTCTCGGCTTCGCAGTCACCAACGAGGTACAATCTCAATTCCCAAATTCGATCTTCTTTTCCATTTCTCCGTCTGCTCGACCTTTTTCCGCTCATTCTCAAATTTAGGAGCTTATTTTGACGAGTTTATTAATGTCTTCTGGATAAAGAGGGTGACCAGTTAGTGATTGGATGGAAGAGGCGTTGTATGTTTCACTTTTACCGATCTCCTATGTAGGTTGCATTTTCTTTTGACGAGTTTTGTTTGGCTAGGATGAAAATCACTTGAACTCCATTACAGGAAGCTATGTATTTTAGTGAGCTGAGTTGAGATGCGATTAACCGTTTGAGACTCAAACAGGTTAGGGATAAAAGTTTGAGTGATTCGCTGCAAACAATGTTAGAAGGATATGACGAGAACTCGAATTTGGGGAGGCTATGATATTTGGGATCCTTTATGCTGCTTCTATATCCTCTTGGTTCCAATGTTGTTCGTACGGCATGGTAATCTTTGACTTAAAAACTCCTTTAACACTTGGTCTTATTTGTCTTAACGCCTTTCCTAGTAGCTTGTTCAGCTTATTTTCACTTCGTTCTAAGAAATATACTAGTGGGAGATGCAAATCTGAATTTTGACGAGAATATGGTTTTAATTGGACTACTCTTATAATGTTATGCCATTATCTACTGGTTTTCATTATGCCTTTTGGCTTGTTTAGTTGCTCTGTAGGGATTGTCTTACCTGTGAATTCCCCTTCAAGGCAATCGAGAAGAAAGATCAAAATGAGCAATAGAAGTGGCTTTTGTATTGGGCAGGTTGGGAAAAAAAAATCTTTTCAGTTCTTTAGCTTTCTTGATTTTTAATTTCAAACAATGGATTATCTTGTATATTGTGTGTCATGGAGAAATATGCAAGCTCTTGGAGGTTTTGCAGGGTTGGCCTAGTTTTCTTTGGGGCATGGGAAAATGCAAAGGAACGTACAATTTTGTGAGTTTGTAATCTATAGGATCATTGTGTTGTCCCATTACGTATCACCGTCAGCCTCACGGTTTTAAAACGCGTGTGTTTGTTAGAGTTTTTCACACCTTATTAAGAGATGCTTCGTTCTCCTCTCCAACCGATGTGGGATCTCACAATCTGAGAACTTTATTATATAGTATACTTAATCAATTTCATGGACGTGGATGAGCTTAAAACTAGTATTTTTGCTTCTGATTCTACTCATAATTTGTTATGTCACATGGCAATTAACATGTATGTAAACTTTAGCCTCCATATTCTGTCTAATGTGTCAGCACTTGGCATTATGGGGTGGCATAAGGATGTTTGTTTAGATACTTGTATTGCTGCATGAAATCTTTTTTACTTTTCAAGAAATTCTCAAGTATACCTTCATGTGATATCAAAGACATTAATCTTCTCTGTTTTTACATTAGTACAGCTTTTGGATCTTTCAGCCTTGTTGAAGTGTTCTGCAGACAAACTTCTTTCATGTTTTCATTCTTTAACGCTTATACATTCTCAATTTTTCTCACTCCCTTGTTTTTTTCTTAGGTAGCTTTTTTTCCCTTGCCAAATAAACTACATGGCACTAAATAAAACTAAAACATATTTTTAGTCAGTCGAACACATTTCTGTCTTTCGTCTTCTTTTAAACCAAAAATGATGGGCGATAACTATAATTTTTAGAAAGATTGAGCTGTATTTCCGTACTTGTATGCTTGTTGGATTGCCATTAAACCTAGTTACAGTCTAGTCCTTGATATCAATTAGGAGACATATACATGCTGACACTGATCGTTGCTGTATTTCTTTTTATCTGCTGTGAATTTGCAGGTTTCCAATGTACTATCGTCTGGAGTTGCGTTTCTTGTTTGTCCAGCTCCCAGCAACTGATGTAAGTACGGGTTTCTGCATTTTCTCCCAGCAACTGATTTAAGTATGGATTTCTCCAGCAACTGATTTAAGTATGGATTTCTCCAGCAACTGATTTAAGTATGGATTTCTCCAGCAACTGATGTATGGATTTCTGCATTTCTAGATCTAATTTTCATAGGAAACAAAAGTCTATTTTATCACAAACCCATGGTTACAAGTAATAAAGACCAAAAAAGGGGTTAGATCTTGTGAGAGTTCCTACGGAGTTTGCAAAAGGATATTTGTCCGGGACATCAATATAGAGCCAAGGAGATAAACTGAAAGGAAGAAACGCCTATTCTCCTTCAGAGATCTCCTGCCATTTCTTTTCAGCAAAGAACCAAAATAGACCTTGAACAACACTTAGCGACACTTCAGAGATCTCCTACATTTAAACCAAATGTGTTCTGAACTATAGTCTTCCATATCTATTCGTTGCTTTTCGACACTTATTGTTGCTCATTTTCAGGGTGCAGAGAAATTATACACGTACCAGCTGCATCCTCTCTTCCTTGGGCATACGATCTTGGGGGCGGTTTCGGATGAAGTGGTAACCCTCCCTCTTATAGTCACGTCTTGCCTCCACAGAAATATTAGCCCTTCAAAGGGCTTAAAAACCATCCACTTTATAAATATATAGACCTTTTATAGTCTCCGCTGTTTTATACAAAATTAAGGAGATCCCATATGCTCTCTAGTCCCTAACAATACAAGTTTTTTCTTTGGAGACTAAACAAACGATATTTAGTGTTTGTTTTTCGATTTTCAACTGCAGGTGAAAACCATTGCTGCACGTCAACCAGAGATTCAGTAATTTAGAACCATGTTTATGAGACTAATGAGATCAGGTGAAGACGTAGCAACATCCTGCTTATTGGTTAATTGGTAATTCCATTTCTTTCAACTCTTTATCTCATCTCAACCTCTGGATCAGTAGAAAGGCTTGGGTTTGCAAGACCAAATCAGGGCTGGAAGGTGCCAACAAATCGAGGATCAAATAAGACTAAGCTTGGATTCGGAGTCAGATATTGATGATCGACTCATTGCCAACAGTTTCCATTCGCTGGTGTAGTTGCAACAACATCAACCCCCGGTTTCCTGGTCTTCCTCTTAAGATAGTGTCGATCAACAGTCTTAGTCTTCCTTTTTCCAATACCTTTCACACAAAACTTAATACTTATGGAAATATTAGAATTTTTTTCACAGATCATCGAGTTCAGTAATTGCAGTAGAAAAGTTCTAAGTATTTGTAATCCCCTACAGTATCGAACCTATGCACCATCTGATTCCATGGTGCTGCGTAAAAAAAATTATAATGTTACAGTTGAAACAGGGCAAAGCGTATAGGTCAGAAAAATAGATTCCTATACTCCTACGACAAGATCATAAATCAGAGTTAATATGGTTCCCACTTTCCCAGTCCAGAATCCATAGCTTATGAATGGTGTAGAGTTGATGTCCTTAGTCCTTACCCTCGTCATCAATAGATTGGGCAGCAGGAGCAGCGATTCCTTTTTCAAAGTTGGCTAATGCTTCTGGTCCACAAAATCGTGTCAATTCTTCCTGTTGTTCCAACAACAAATTTAAAGAGTTTAATTTCAGGACATGACTTCACTAATTCTTTGGTATATTTCATAGGAAGGAAAAGAATATTTAACCTTGATGGAACTATTTTCTGATGTTAGCTTTTCACATTCCTCGGAGAGCCTCTGCAGCTCATCCCTAAGAGTACGATTCTCGTTGTTCAATGTCTGCACTCTCGCCTGTAATTCTTCACACTCCGCCTGCCATTAATAGCATTAAAAACTGGTGATTCTGATGCCCACAAATGGGGAAACATTTCAGTACTACTAGTCCTAGATATTCCTTCCATAAACAATTTCACGTTATTCAATTATATATTATTTTATTTTGTAGGCATCATACTGATTCTGTTATGGCATTCAGGGAAGGAATAAGTGGCTGGAAAACCGTAGAACTAATTTTCCCAGTTCTCACAAGGAATGTTGCGTCAAAATTTCATTACAAAAATTTGCAAAAATTCCAGTTTCTTCATACATCTTTAAAATTACAATTTTTTATCTAAAAAAATCGATTCCGTGAACATTAATGAAAGGTCTGAGTCAAAAAAATATGCAATTTTTGAAGTACAGAGATTTATTGGTCACAAGTAAATAATGTTAAAGTGATATTTGTCAAAAATAGCAGAAAATAAAACGTTGAAGACACATAACCCAAGGGAAGAAGTAAAAAATAGCTAAAATATTATGCTCGATATATACCACACAATATGGGTATCAAAATTGGCAGCTGAAGTTAACACAAGTGAGAATACATACCTGCTTGCGTAATCTTGACCTCCTGGCAGACTCTCGGT